ATAGGATGAAATTCTTTCACCAAACCACAGACTTTCAAGGAAAGTTCAAAACCGGGATCTCCACTTAATATCAATAATCCATTCCTAAAAATCAGACCTTCTAACACTACATCACTGACCAGGTGCCTATTTTCTCATCATTTCGAATCAAAGAATTATACTGTGGTATACATCAATTTCAATCCTCCAACTTGCTTTGTATCTCCCCCCAGTATAGAATTATATTACACATCGGTCAGTATTTTCATTGTCTTTTTTTACTGAATTCACTTTTCTCACTTGCTTTGTTTCTCCAGTTTTTTTTTTAAAAACACTTCCAACATGTTAGAAATTCATTTTATACTAGGCGAAACAAGGGCTACATAGTGAAATGCATTTCCAATGAGAACGTAATGGCGGGAATGACTCACATGCACCATGATGCTCGTGTGCATTTCGAAACACCTGCAGATGATTTTAACGGTCTAGCAATTATATTTGGAATAAAACGAGATTCTTGCTGCGCATTGTTTTTAAAATTGTTGCACTGAACTATCCAATTTCACTTTATAAAGTTCTAAAAATAGAGAATATTAATTTATAGTATTTGACCTCAGGACAGGGGTTACATTGGGACCACGTAGGTAGGAAGAGGCTGAAAGGAGGCCTCTCAAGTGCTAGTTAATTTTCTCTTTCTGGACTGGGGTGCTGGTAGCATAAATGTACTCAATTTATAAAACTTCATTCAGCTGTACACTTTTGATTTGTGCACTTTCCTCTATGTACATTCTATGTCAATAAAAAGTTCAAAAGTTTTTAAAAATGTCAAATCGTGTATTAGGAACGTCAATTTTTCCTACATAAAACTAGACTAAAAAACCACTGTATTCAGAGAGATCTACTTTCTCTGAAGTTTAAGCATTAAAATCAAAGCTGTTCTATCAGAAAATGTTAACGGGGGGAACATTCTGCAGAGAACGCATGTGTTTTCCTGAAGCTTTTGTTCTCTCATAGCTCTTGAGGAAGAGCACATGGAGAGGATATTGGGCTATTTGTCCCCAGCCCTCACGGGAATGAGAAACTAGAGCAGGTTCTTGGATGGAGTTCTGTTAAACAGGAAATTTCAGGATAAGGAATGAGTATGCACGCATAACCTAGAAACTGACAGTATCTCAAAAAAGAGAAAGAAACGTCAACTTACATGGGCCATCGTTTCAAACTGGTCGGCCCCTCTCAAGCTTTCCGTTGGAGAACTGCAGTTTAGATAAGCCAGACCTGGAAGAAGGAGAAGAAGCCATGAAACCAGACGTGCTCAGAGCTCCCAAAATGACTTATGCTAATACGAGCTTTTTCCTCTTCCACTCCTGCTTCCAAACTCTTCCGCACCACTACCCCTACACTGACCCCACACCCACACAAACCTGAGGGGAGTTCAGGGAGTCTGAAGAAACCCAATACACAATGATGGGCGTGGTGTAGAAGACCAGATACTTCTGCAGGATCTCAGGCTAGTTCCACAGCTGGCAGTGTGGTCTAATATTATTCAGACTTGTCCCGGGCAGTTCTTCCTTTCTCTAGTACAACTTTTCGGGGCTGAGAAAGGGCCACGCCAACCAAACAGAACCTCCTTCGAGCCCCCAGGATTCTGCCTGAACTTCCTAGACACAAAGACTGAAAACCACACGGACTGAGCCTGGCAGCTCCTGCCACTGTAAAGCTGCGCCGGGCTTTCCCGAGCCAAGACAACTTCCCACTCGTTTCCCAGTCAGAACCTCTCATACCTGGACGCCCTGTGCCACTCCTCCTCCTTCAGCATCGGAGCTGGGCAGGAGGGGACTCATGACCACCGCAGCTGGTCAACGACAAACATACACTGAGAACTCGGATGTGATGGAGGCTTTATACACACCACTCACTGATCCTCAGCACTGTCCTGCAATGGAGTTCTCTTTTCAACAGCTCAGGAAACCGATGCTCAGGGGTCGTATCATTTGCCCAAATTCACGGTTATTAAGTGACAGAGCTTTGTTTTGTTTTGAATCCCAATTTCTGTAACTGAAAAGCCATCTTTCAACTTTGGGTTTTTTGCCTCTGAAAGCGAGGGTTTCTACTTCACCAAGGGAAAGCTGAGCAAGGGCAGCTCACTAAAAAATAGAAATAACCTTTCAAAAGATACTAACCTTCACTACTGATTGAGAGGATGCTTGTTAAAGCAACCAGAAACAATCTTTTTACAGTGACTGAATTGGGAGATCTAAAAGAACAGTGATGCCCCATGTTAGCAAGGGCACAGGGAAATAGACACTAGGTCAGTCCAAATTTAGAACTTGCGAAGCATCATTTAAACCCTGCAACCCCCAAAACCCTGCAAACCAGAAACTCCACTGCTGGGATTAAAGGAACTATTTGTATGTGTACATAAAGATGTTTGCAGTGGCATGCCAGCCGATATGGTTTATAATGGACAAAAGCTGAAAAGAATCTAATTGGAGAAATGATGAAACAATTGAAAACCATGCAAATATTAAAAAGTTATAATGCTGCCAATTTCGATGAAATGAGTGAAGCTGTTTAAAAAAAAATCACACGTATACCTAGAAGGACCAGTTAAAATGTTTACAGTGACAGCC